ATGAAACTGTGCAAAGGATTCTGGGTCAGAGCTGCCAAATCCGATCCGACGTATTCGGACATCTGGGGGTTTTTAGCTACAGCGGTTAGCGCTCGACGCACTGGGACTCAGTAAATCTTTGCCTGGTTTGCTCTGTGTATGTATGTATGTACAGCTCAGGAGGGGTTCTGGACGTCCTACGTGGGGTTCAAGCCCTGATCTCCTGGGTCACAGTCCAACACAGACATTGTGTCTCCACATGAGTTCTGTTGAGAACATAAATGCATTTTAGATGTTCAGGTTGTGATGATCAGTTTGGTTCTGGTGTCGGAGCTGCTCACTGGTCCTGTGAGCTGGAACAGGATGTGACGTTTTAATCGTTTGTTCTTCTCGTTACTGATTAAAGTTTTACAAACTCGTTGAGAAGTTCTATCTTCTGTATGAATGTCACCAGTGTTTGGACTCAAACAGTCATTAAAACTGATTAAAAGTTCAAAAGGAACTTGAATCTGACTCAAACATACCAACCATAAGCTGAGGACTGTCCCGTCCTTTATTACGCTGCAGCAGATTGAAACCATTCAGTCCCTTAATGTTCACACTCTGCTGCATCTGAGAGGCCATACGGAGGCTTTAAACCTCCATTTGTTTCATATTTGTGTGTCATATTTGTCAGATTGCCTTTTTATACGACGGTTAGATGCATTGGCTGCTGCTGGCTGACATATTGGGACCCGTCTATCAACTGGTCAGATGGAGACGCATCGTTCGTATAATTACTGGCTTTCTGGAAAAACTTTAAGCTGAACTTTATGTATTTGAAACCTTGGCTGTATGTCCTTTTTTTGGTATTTTTCACCATGTTTGCTGACGTAAACGGGACACAAACGTACGTCAGACGTGTACGTGACCCGTGGCCTTTATTTCATCGGACCTAATGGTCCCATAATATCCAAACTCTGCAGCGTCCGAGAGGCTCGTTGGTGGTTTTGAACCTTGATTTCTTTTATATTTGTGCAAAACATTTGGTGAAATCCGTTTATGTGGATGTTTGATGCTGTTGCTGTTGGGAACACGTTTGGACCCGTCTATCAACTGGGACTAGCTTGAGACGCTTGTTGTTTGAGTGTTTTTGAAACGTTTGCTGTATGACCTTTATCTATTTATTTACTTATTTATTTTTTATTCATTTCTTGGTGGTTTTTACGGTGGGAAGGGGAACAAACGTTGGACAGACGTCTGCGTGATGTGTGGCCTTTATTTCATGGGACCGGCGCGGTCCAAAGTCATCACATTGGAGACGAGCTTCAGGCTGTAATTCCCGTTCAGACAGCGAGGATCCTGCCTAAAGCTGTGAAGACAGTCGGTTAACTAGCAAACTTCCTCAGCCGAGCACCGAGCTTTGCTGGATTCCTCCTCTCGGGCCAAGTCCACCAGAAAAAACCCTGTTTCTTTGAAATCCAACTCAGCCAATGAGATTTTCTGCCTCTGAGATTCTGGACTCGGGTTCCACTCTGTGCATAAATGAAATTCAATCTGCTGCACACATACAAGCTCAGCCAGCTGGAGTCAGGGACAGTCGGGCAGACAAATGGACTTCCCAGTAAACTAAACTCCCTCGAACAAAGCCTCAGAGAATAAAGCTCATAGAAAACATAATGCGAGCACTCGGGAGGCCAATCAAACCGGGCCTCCTTCCTCCTTCTCCTCTCCTCTTATGGTTTCGCTGCCAAAGCCTCGTCGCTGCTAAACTGCCGTAGATCAAGTCCTGCATGACTCCGGGAAGCGGTTCAATCCCCTAGATTTGCCCTCGTCTTTGGCGAATGACGGTGCGATCGGGTTTGGGGGTTTGAGGACGGAGCCGTAGATAACCGGCTCCATGTGCTGCTTCAGCGCCGCCCAGACTCACCAAGGCCCAACGGTTCTGCTCAGACTCTGGAGTTTCCATCTGATGTGAGTCCTGCAGCACCTCGACCTGCTCAGAGGACCAACCGGGTCACGGGTCTGATCAACTCATTCACATGTTGTTTGGTCTCATTCTGCAGCTGGGATCCAGAACGCATGGTTCCATTTGTATTTCATTTATAATCTGTTTTATGTCACATGTTGGGGTTTTTGGTTCCTGTACCTCCAGCAGCAGGAATCAGACGCTCCCCTGATCCATTCATGCTTCCCTGGTTGACGATGATCTCTGAGCTGGATGTGATTAATATCAGCAAACTGTCACGTCTGAGGCTCTTTGAATGCATCTCAAAATACGATATATCTATATATATAATGTGCAAGTCTGATTCAAAATGAGGTTAAAATATAACCATTTAATATATATATATATATATATATATATATATAGTTTTTTGTGAATGTTAAAATGCATTTGCAAATTTACTGTAATTTTACCAATATTTCATTTTTTAAGTTTAATAAATTAAACAGTTAAATTCAAGTTTAATACCGTAAATATATTTCTAAAATTCACTACAATTGACTACAATTAACAGAAAAAGATTTTTTTTATTCTGTAAATTACAGGAATTAATTTGTTGTGAGAAATATAAGAAATATTTTACATTTTGTAAAATGTATTAAAAATGTCAAATTCAAATTTAACTATGTGCATTTATTTCTAAAATTAGATCTAATTAGTGACGATTAACAGAAAAAGACATTTTTTTCCTTTAATTTTACCGATTTTGTTGCTGTGAGAGATGTTGTTTAATATTTTGTAAATTTGCAGATGATTTAACAAAAAAATATGAAATGAATCTGTTTTTATCAGTGCATGATATCCATAAGCACTGGTAATCCTATAAATAACAGCTTTATTATTATGCATGTCCATCTGTTAAATATCTTTAATTTAACATTAAAAAGCACCAAAATACTCATGACCTCATGTGAAACGAGACATCTCTGTTATTTCAGTGTTTTTTGACACCAGAGCTGCAGGAGAACTACATTTGTGGGTTTCTTTTTTACAGTCTGGGCGATAGCCGTGCTGCCATCGCTCTTTGAAATTTACAGTCTGTGTTTGGCGATTAGCGGAAGCAGGAAACGTCCGTCCGGCACCACAGAGAGACTAAAGCGGAGCGAGAAGGAGGATTGTTACTGAGATGTTTCATGTGGGCTCAGCTCAGAGATCCCTCGTGGGGGGTTTCCACGTCTCCTCTCCATCCATCAGCCTTCTGTCTGCCCAGCGCTTCAGACGGAGGCCGGAGATATACAGCTCTGCTCAGCGGCGCCGGCAGCAGCTTCCTCCTCTGACATCTACACTGGTCCTCTGGGCCGCAAGGCCTGCTGGGAAATCCTGCAGACACCGGAGAAGGAAACTTTAAAGAGGGACGAGCTCCTTCATCGCTGCATCCTCTGATGCTGCTGCATGAATGCAGAACCTGATAAACGCAGGTTTTATTTACGTTTTATTGACGCTGGTTTTGTTGGTTTAGCTGCTCCATGGCGTCGCTGGATGAACTGATTTGTTCTTATCGTCTGTGTTTTGCTTTAATAAATGCGTGGTTTTGTTGTTGTTTTTTCTTCTTCCCACAATCACAGGAATTCAGAACGATTAAATTCCTACTTTGAATTGTTTTCTATGTTAATTATTTCATGTTGTGCATTTCACCACCGCTTCAGTCACATCCTCATTATTACCCTGATTAACGATAATCTATAACCTGGATATTAATTAATTTATGACACAAACACGACACTTCAGACGTCTGAGGTTCTTTGAATGCAAAGTATTTTAATTATGTGATTTTAATTATTATTTTCCCCCCAATAGCTCGATATTTAAAAAATCTATAAAAGATTTTTTTTTTAAAGATCATATATTTGTATGTCTCAGATAAAACAATATCTTTAAATTAAAAAATGTATAATTTTATGTTCTCTGGCAGCTGATATAATGTTTGTATGTTTATTTTATTTAGTCTTTTAAATTATTTTTTAACCTCTGTTAAGAACTTTCTAACTTTAAGAAAAGTCTAGTATAAATTCATCTATTATTATTATTATTATTATTATTATTATTATTATTACTATTATTATTATTATTGTGCCTGTTGCATTTAGGCTTTAAAAAATGTATTTATTATTAAAAAAAAATTTTAGTGAAGCAAATTTATCTCTATAAGAAAACAAACAGAAGCAATATTGTTAATTTTTCTATTTTTTTTATAAATATATGAGCATTTGAATAAAACTATAAAAAATAAACTGAATTTGGATGTCTGATGAAAAATAACCTTAAAAACGTAACTTGGTCACTATAAATGAAACTTTTATGAAGGGAACTGACTGTTTATCATCTTATGAAGCGACGTTATGGATCAGACCATCAGATGCATTGTTTGCTTGTTATTTCATTTTATTTATGACACTTTCATAAACAGTTTGCGGGACACAAATGAAGAACACGGACTCTTTTTGTAGTTTTTATTGGATACAGTGAAGGAAATGCACAGACACAAAGCCAGCGATGACTAACCAACAAGCACATTCAGTTCTAGTCAGAAAACTCTCTACGAGCTCTAATCCACCAGGTGGTGGCGCTGCAGCCAACTGCAGCCGGTCAGTGGAAGAAAAGATACTCAGGAATCAGGCAATTTAGTCTGTTTGGTGTCGTAGCTTCATTTGCTCGAAGGGATTTTAATAAATTAGAGACGTAATACTTTGAAAGGTACTTTGAGTTCACTTTCAAAACAGCCCACAACCGACAGTCCACACGTAGAAACCGGATTCCTCCAACGCTTGTTCTGCTATTTGCCCTACAGTTACCTTGTTTTATTATGTCACTATTATTATTATTTCAAAGCGTATAAAGTGCAGACATGCATTAACACTTATAGCTTTTGTCCATTCGGGGAATTTACTAACACGACAAATCTACTGAATCCTCTAAAGAGCCGTCACTCTCCCAACTAGCCTTCCACGACTGATGTACAGTTTGGGATGCAGCAGCTTCCCCAACAGACGCAGTCACAAGGTAGAAATGAAGATACAGAACCCCTCACAGCCACTTAGTTCCTGAGTCGTTTGTAAAACACGGTTGCGACACCGAGGGCGATTAAGCAAACGAAGGCGAGGATGCCGACGGCCACGCCGAGCCCGACGGACGACTCGTCCTCATCGGCGGCGAGCGGCTTCTCCTTGGAGTCGGTGCTCTCGGCCTTGGTGATGATCTCCGGCGAGGTGATGGTGTAGGTGACGGCCGACGTGTCCAGGGTGTTCCTCTTCCTGCGGTTGTTGCACTGCTTGAAGGTGCCGCAGGTGCTCTTCTCGCAGAGCCGGGTGATGCAGTGCAGGTAGTAGGTGGACACGGTCTCGTTCTGCTGCTCGATGAAGCGGAACGCTGGGAACCGGAAGCGGGCGCTCTGGCTGTCGCCGTTCTCGATCATGGTGGTGAAGCGGTCCTTGGAGCACGGCACGAACAGGTTGAAGAAGCTGGAGTTGGTGGGCAGCGGAGAGATGGAGGCGTAGCAGCGGTCCAGCAGGACGTGGTACTGACCCGTCAGGTTGGTCGCCTTCACCTCCACGTACACGTTGGTCCTGAGCTCGATGCCCAGCTCCGGGATGACCATGGGACGGGTGTAGTTGACGTCGCTGAACAGGTCCATGCTCAAGGTGCTGATGAAACTCCCGTTGTTGTCCTTCACCGACACCGAGGAGGCGGACACGTCGATCTGGGTGTTGTTGATCAGGTACTCTAGGGGGTAGGCGCACGAGTAGTAGTACTTCAGCTCAGCGTTGTAGGTGATGGTGCCGGTGGTCGGGTCGATGGACCGGATGACGCCGCTGATGTTCACCGTCTGGATGTTGGAGAAGTCGGAGAAGATGCCCGTCCCGGCGGCGCTGGTGGTCCGGAAGGTGCTTCCGCAGGCGTGAGTCATGTTCAGTGGGAAGTTAAAGCGGGCCACCGGCGGGTTCACAGACTCGTCGAGCGTGGCTCTACAGACCGGGTCCATCATGTGGTTCAGGATCAGGAGGGTCTCATTGTAGCCGGTGTAGACGACCGGGCAGATCTCAACCGCCAGGCCGATGGAGGAGGTACCGCAGTCCACTGAGATGTCATTGATGAGCGGCCGCCTCGCCTCCGACCCACAGTCGCTCAGACTCAGCTGATTACTTCTGACGATCAGGGACAGCAGCAGGATGAGAATCTTCATGGTAGTTCTTCAGCTTGACTCGGGTCTGCTGCTTCTTTGAGCTGAAATCTTCGCTGGTGGATCTTTCTGTTTGTTTGAAGTCTTTGGGTTGTGTTCAGGGGTCTTTATAGGTGAGTGTGTCTTCTGGGATTGGTCCAAAACAAGGTCAAGTGTCTTGCTATGAGGGAGCGACTGCATTGTGTGAAGCAGCAGGAGGACTCCAGTCTGGACCCTGTCCTGGGGGCAACACCTGAAACCTGAAGCATCTCGCAGTCTTGAATGCGGAGACAATGGGCCCGCTCCTTTTGTTGACTATGCTTTAAAATATACATTTCCATGTGCCCTTTTGCTAAGCCTTCGTCAAGTAAGTGAACATAACACTGTATGAGATGAATTACTGAATGGCCCAAACAATGCGGAGACGGTTCTTCTATCCGGTCGGAGCCCCGGCAGCTTCAGCAGTGACCCAGTTGGGATCCGGAGCAGCGATTCCTCAGTCATCCTGACGAATCTGTTGATATTAAACGTAAAATAGGTACAAGCAACGTCTAACTGAAGTAGTTTATAAATGAAGCCAAACAACTTTTGTGTGACTTTATATCCATCAGAGGACACATCTGGGTTCACCTCAGCTTGTTGTGGCTTCTCAGTCATATAGAACAGGTATTATCTAATGACATCGGATGGGAAATAATCAGATTGTCTCAGGATTCATAGATGTACACACACAAGGGATGAGAGGCTGAAGCTAATTATGCTAAACTATAGCATAGCTGTGGTTAACTTTAGTGTTTATGAGGTTACAGATGACACAATCCTTCCAAAATATTGTGAATTTATTAAAAACTACAGATACCAGATATGTATATATACATATATATAATCTGGTGACCTGTGAACTTGTGGTTCGTAGTTTGAATGTGTTTGTCTGGTGACACACACTATACTGCTCTAAAGCTGCTAAAAGGCAGGATTTTATTCACCTTTATGTTAAATATATCATGTTTCTCAGCCATTTCAGTTCCATTCACAACAAATGCTTCACCATTTCCCAGTTTGTGATGAAAGGTTGCAGCTAATTATGCTAAATTATAGCATAGCTGTGGTTAACTTTGGTGTTTACGAGGTTACAGATGACACAATCCTTGCAAAATATTGTGGATTTGGAGAAAAATGAACCGTATACATTGGATTATACGGTATACGTATGGTGGCTAGAACTGTTGATTATTAGTTTGAATGTGTTTGTGAAGCTTTGCTGCTCCTTCAGGCTCCTGAAATGATCTCTTTATTGTCACCTTTAAGTTAAATGTTGTCATGGTTTGTATTTTACAGCCATTTCAGTCGCATTCCAACGTCCTCTTCATGGCTTCATGATGTGATGAGAGGTGGGAGCTAATTATGCTAAATGATAGCATAGCTGTGGTTGACGTTGGTGTTTTTGTGGCTACAGATGCAGTCCTTGCATAATATTGCAGACTTAATACTAAATGAATCAGGCTTCATGGACGGTCCGTTGGTGTGACACACGGGAAGCACATCAGCCCATTGTGCTGCTGCTCAGCAGGCAGTATGTTGGTCAGCTTTTGTTGCTGGCACACATTCAGATAAAAGGTGACGCCGAGCCGGCATCATAAAGGTAACTGAAGCTATGTGGTGTCAGCGGAGACAAAGGCTCTGACAGAGACCAGGCAGGTCTTCAGCAGCACAAAGCCCAGGAGAATAAATGCACCTTACATAAACAAGCCACCAATTAATCACCAGCAAGCCTCATCAGATCCTCACCTTGTTCTGTGGTTCTGTTCAGGTCCTACTGGAGCTTTGTTCGGATCATTAAGGGCAAACTCAAAGACAATATACAGATAATAATTCTCCATGTTTTTATTTAAGCTAGAGCTCAGAGACAGATCAGTGGATGAACGTTGATGAAACATAGTTCAGTGAGTTTGTACCGAATAAACCAAAAACCAGCAGCTAACGCTTTGCCACCAGGAAGTTCCTCCATTTGACCCAGTTCTTGGTGCTACAACAGGATCCCTGCTGCCTTTGTTCAGTGTAGCAGGGATCAGAATCCCACAAAGAGAGACTCCAGGAGGTTAAACTAGTGTAGAAACAGTTTGTCTGATAAGGACTCCTGACAGCACGTGTTTGAGCTTTTATGACATTTCAGATGTCAAAATGTCCATTTAGAGTATTTATCACCAGAAGAAACCTAAAATAAACATATATTAAATAGAAGAGTGTCTCAGTGTAAAGAAACTACAAGAACCAACAAAGGGAACTACAGAAGTGATTTCTTCTGCTCTGTCTCGTACAAACACACCGACGACCTGCTGCTTTACATCCAATAGACTCTCCTCTGACTCTCCAGACTCACAATGAAAACATCCTCATGACTCATCCTAATATCCAGATATCTGCACCACTCTGATAATTACCAGGTCAGCAGTAATTCACTTGTCAGTGTAATTATGATTAGTCTGACTTGTTGTGTCCATGTAAGACCTCCTGTTGGATGTGAGCCATCGAAGCTTGTGAACAGCGTCAGCAGACGTAAACAGCAGCTGCTGAAATCAGCAACACATTCAAACCAGGAATCAGGAGCTCCAGTCACCGTCTAAGCCAAACTAAAGGCCTGTGACTGTAGGAAGAGAAAAAAACATTCAAATCACGTCTTTTTAAAGCAAAACACACAAGATAACAAAAACTGTGCAGCTATGTCAATAAAACAGCCACAAGTATGAGTAAAATGTGTATTTATGAGGTTATTTATTCATCAGCCAGCATCAGAACAGCAGTGGTCCAGTCCCTTCGTCAGAGCCTCGAGCCGCCTTTTATTAACGACGCCTCTTGTTTGTGGTGATGGCATCGGGCAGGAAGTGAGAGGACGTGATGAGAAACAGACTCTGTCCCGCTGTGAATTCATCGGGGTGCAGATCTGGCGTTTGGGGGGACGTTTGGGGGGACGTTTGGGGGGACGTTTGGGGGTCACCTGCTCCGTTAAAAACCGACTGATTGATGGTCCGAGCCGCCGACTCGACCGGAGGGTCTCTGGCGTTGAGGAGTCGCAGAGGCGGAAACGTGCAGATGGGAGGCAAGAAAGAAACGAGGTGGGAATTCTGTTTGGGGGAAAAAATACGAGCCTCTGTCGCTGCTTTACTGCAGAGGTCGCGACCGGGCCGCCCTCTGTTATGATTGGGCCTTACGGGTTATTTTGTCTAGCGGCTGCAGCGGCGAGGCGATGACGGCTGCTGAGACACAGGAAGTGAAGCGATGTGGAGATCTATCAGCACCACTGTAGCGGGAACACAAGCTGAGCGCTAATCGGCTGCTGGGAGCGCCACTGCTGCAGCTTCAGCATGTGGACGGCTGTGACTTCAGCCAACAAACCCTCCTGATGTGTGTTCATCAGAGAATTTAAATCACTGGATGCACTCATCAGACTCAAACACGCTGATGAGAACATGTGCAAGCTGTGATCAACAGAATCAAGACTTGAGTTTGATTTGGGGTCCGATCTGAAGGCCGGTTCATGATTTATGTCTCTTTCCATTAAACAAAGACGTGTTTTGGTCGTCGCCGTGGGGCTGAAGCCGACGCCCATGTGGTAGCAACCTGTTCATCGCAGGTAGTCGCACCCTGAACTTACCCACAGTGTCCATGTGCTGAAACTGTGACCACACCGACTGAACTCAAAAACAAATCCAAACAGGCCACACACGACCTCATCATCACCCGATAAACAGATGTCCAGCGAAGTCGCCCAAACACAGTGGGAAGCTCCAACTTCTCCAGAAGTCCTGTTCCACGTGCCAACCTCAGGAAGAATGTCATCTGTGAGGATCTGCTTCATCCACAGGACCTTTGTGTGGGTTTTTTCTGTTCCATATGGGGTTAAAAGCCGCCATCTTGGTAGCACATCGACACATCGGCTTCCTGCCGGTCAAGTCTGCATCGGTCTGCACACACTGATGCATGGAGTCCTTGATCTGTGACTCAGGTACACCACAGACCATGGTTTGTCGTTTTAAAGCCTTAAATCTTGAATTTCGGTCGTTGCCATCTTGCTGTTTTGGACGTAGAAGTAACCATGTTTGTTGGTGCATTCTATTGATCCTTTAAATTGAATTAATGTGCTGAAGTGAAGCCACATTATGAACTGACCGACCCTGTCACTGGAGACATGCTCTACCCCTTTAAGAACAAAAAACAAACACATGTTTTTCAGTGTTCATTTGTTGGGGTGAAGCACATCCAAGGTGCTAAAACGTGTCCGAGTTTATCGTCTGTTCTGCTCTAAATCGGACCTTTACTCACTAAATGATCACCAGACTGGAAACCAGCAGCTCAGACCATAAACTCTTTAGAAAAATGTTCACAGAAGCAACAAATCAAGTGAGAAAAGGTTCATTTTCTCATACAATCTGACTTCTCCTGGCAGTCAGAGGAGGCGCCCCCTGCTGGCTGTTAGAGTTATTGCAGCTTGGAGACACTTCTTCAGCTCAGACAGATGTTTTCCGACTATAAAAGCAGGTAAAATATGATGTGAGAATCCCTCTCGGTGGTTCAATTAAACCAGAATATGTAAACTATAAAATCTATTTTAAAACTAACGCTGGAATTTCTCGTAGGGATTCGCTGAACTACACAAAAAAAGCCACTCACAAAAAAAAGAGGAAATGCCTCTTCTTCCAAGGCTCTGCACTAATTGAAAGCTCATCTGTTTCTTACTTTTCTTGGCCATTTCCTCCTGTGCTTGGCTGCCTGCTGCTCCGCCATTACAGGCCCTGACCTGGTTCACACCAGATAATATATCAGCCTGTAAAGCGAGCCGCCATAGAAGCTGACCCAACACCCAATTGTTATGCTAAGGAAATTAAATGTCACATATGAAATGCATTCAGCGCTGTGAGGTACAACATGTTGCACGTTTAAAGAAAAAAAACGAAGCACAACACGATGAAGATGGAGTGATGTGGAAGCAGCTGAAGGCCTGAGCGGTGGTCGCCCACTGAGGTTCT